AAACAAAATTAATATTTTTTTCTTTTTATATAGTTGTATCTAAACATACTTCGTTAAATTGAGGTGGTTTTTGTGTCTACATTTACAAATCAACTCGTTATGTTTGTTCAGTAATATATCCGGATCCTTATGCTTTATTATTAAGATTTTTTCCATAATGCACAAAGTGCATCGGTCTCTGAAGTTTATCGGAGTTCTAGCTCTTGAGACGATTCTCCAATAATGTTTAGAAAGTGCAGTTTGATGTTTCTTTGATTTATTAATGAAGGATTGGCGATATATTTATATATATATATATATATATATATATATATATATATATATATATATATATATATATATTAAATAGCTGTTATTTAACATTGAGCACTGTTTTTCTTACACTATAGAGTATTTATATGTATTTGTATATGATCTCTCACTCATTATACTTACCTATATTTATCCATTCCATTTTATACATACATATATATATATATATATATATATATATATATATATATATATATATATATATATATAAGTGAACATTGAAATCAACAGGCGAGATGCAATCGTCCAGTCCACACCTTAAGAGTATATGTCCACATACATACACACACACACATATATATATATATATATATATATATATATATATATATATATATAACGATATATTTTTTATATTTGAAGAACAATTTTGGAAGAAAGATGAATGACAATGTTAAATGTACTTTAAGATTTAACAGGACAAGGTTTATTTACGTTGATACGACAAGACATGCGAACGAACGTGAAACGCTAGGAATTCTAAATTTTTAAAAATGTTTTTTTTTTAATTTAATGTGTTTTGTGTATATAATCTAGCCAATTTCATTTATATTCTTTGTCTTTTCGTTTCCATCATCTTTGTTATCAAATATACAACATTTTGATAGCAAATCTACCAAAACTGGTGAAACGTTGCCAGAACCTGAACACAAATTTTCTATGGATGGACTAGCAATTAACAAATTAATGCAAAGCAAAACAACCATCCAAAACTTGAAGGAGGATTATTTTCTATCACCTTTAAAGATTTCCAAACAGAATATATTGGAGAAACCTCAAGAAGTTTAAATAACTGTTTATATGAACACAAAAGAGACATTTTAAAAACAGCACATTAAACACTCACCATAAGGAGACTTGCTTCAATTTTCATATAAAAATGTAACATTAATTATAAAAGAAAACAATTCACTAAGAGGAAAAAGTTTGGAAAGTACATTAATTGCACTTTCAGCTCCGGCATCTATTATAGTACCTGCTCACCTTATTTTATCTTTAATCCAATCGTAAACGGTAAAAAGAAGTTATATCTTGTGCCAAGTTAAACAACGTTTACTAAATGGCGGGTTTAGATCAAGTGCAGAATTTAATGGGTGGGAGAAGTGAGAACATTATTTCTACACGTTACGAATAATGGAATATCAAGATCTGATAAAAAAGAATATGCGTTGAGGTTATAAAAAGAAAATTACAACATACATTCATTCGGTTTTTATTCTCCTTCAAAGTTGTCCTCTTCTGAAGTTACACAGTTTATCCAGCGCCGTTACCATTGATGGAAACATTCGTGTTTCTGGAGAGCGAGTCGTTACCTCGTCACATTCTCGGATTTACTCGAGGTCTTCAAATCTTCTTCCTTTCAAGTGAGATTTGATTTTTGAAGAGGAAAATGTCGCAAGGTGCGAGATCTGGGGAATATGTTCGTTGTTAGACCTGGAGAATGTTTGTGCTTGGCCAAAAACTGCTACACAAGTCATAATCACTGATGGAACTTCTGTGAAGTTGTAAGACGACCACACTCTACACACTTTCCTTCCAAGCACCACTATAAACAACGGAAGAACATTGTAACTTAGAGCTTATGCACGACAGATTTCAAGATTATTCTGTATCAATCGGCTTCGGTCTGCGTAGTTTAGCTCCGTTACCATAGCAACAGTGACGGTACTTTTTTTATCAGACGTCATAGGCTATATTCAAAACCTAATGACATTGCATGCGAATTTGATTCCTAAATGATATCCAGCTTAGACCACTCTACTTAAACGAAACATGATATTGATCTTTAAAAACACTATACACGCAAATGTAACAAGGTATCTTGTTTGTTAGGGAAGTGTATTTCATAGTCCTGGTTTCAGATGGTAGCGAATTGGAACAGAAAATTTATAAGTTTGAATCTTTTGGGTAAAATCAAATTTTCACAGGAAATTTAATTGTTGCAAGGACTGCAGATTTTGACAGGTGACTACATTGTTTTGTCTCTGTTCGCCTACAGGCTTATCCAACGAATATGTAAGGTTGTTATTTTGAATGTAGATGGCCTTGAAGGCGATATTTAAAGTCTGGATAAGTTAAAAAATAGGAAAAGACTCTTTTTGACACTTCTTGTGATCAAGGGATTATGAGAAACCCTGTAAGTGGATAGGTCCTCATATATACAGCTGTTTGGCGAGCGGAGGCAGAAAGAGCCGGAGGAATTGAGAGGGGCGATACATCGAAGATTGGGTGATCGACATACACGCAATTCACACCCGCCTGAAATTAACTCGATGTTCGATTCTCTGACAAAAGTTTGAGAATACGCACTTTGGTTCCAAGTCACGACCCCATCCAGAAGCTATATCAAACTTTTGTCAATATTTTATCTTTATTTGTCTAGCAGTGAAGTCATCAAATGGCACCACCTCTTCCTTAGCATCCTCCTCCCTGAATGCCCCACCCACGGCCTTCCTCCAACAATTTCTTCAGTTACCTCTTCTGGAAACGCCTGAGCCACCCCTTCCTGACAATGAAATCTCCCCCACCTTCAGTTCCATGGAGCTGATGGCGAAACTTCTCTGCCTGGTGCCTCACGATGGGAACTGACAGAGGTGTTCTCTGGCTCTGCTCTTTCCCAAACCAGGTGTGAACATAGCCTTGTCCACCTGTTCATCATTGGCTGTCTGGGTCTTCTTTCTACACAGTCCTTCTGACGCATGGACAGTCTCTGTGAAATCTCACAGCTTCGTCTCCTCCTTCACTCAACTCCTGAGGGTGGATTCAGGTTACCCCTGTATACCTGCTGATCTTTGCCTTCGTTTCACCGTTCTGTATCCTATCTATCAAACGCAGTTTTTTTTTCATTTACTGTGTACGCTTTACCTTTAGACATTTTTTATTACTACTAGGGGTCGCAATTTCCCAGAAATTCTCGAGGAAACATTCCCGATTGCGACCACTAATTACTACCTTTATTTATATATATATATATATATATATATATATATATATATATTATGAGACATTCTTGATGTCTACTGTTGGACAGTCAAACTGAACATAATCAACCAGAGAAAATTACTCCTATTTATATCCCATCCATGGTATCTGATTGCAGTGATTGAATTCCTGTTAATTAGTCCGATATTATAGGAACTCTTTGATCGCGCGCGAAATAGAAATATAAAGTAATCATGTGTAATTATTACCAATACAATTGGATTAGGTGTGAAACGTCTGAGGTGCTAAAATTTCGCAAAATTTGGGCTGTTTGATCATCAAAATCAAGGTAAAACGTGTGAAAATGGGTGTAATTATTAAAACAAATTAGGACCCATCTGATGATCTCTCTTTGTTCTGTCTAGTGTGAAGAAGACGGCCCAGAAATTGGTAAAATAGGGTAGAATTTCTAAAAACCTGAGCGGTATTGAGGGTACGAGAGCAAAATATTAGAGTCCACCACTCAACCGCGGTACACCACCCGGTGTACCGCGGTTAAACTGGTTCGCCTAATAGCGTGGACTACTGTAATAGATATGTGTTGGTGTAGCTTAGATGTGGCACAAGGATGAAAGTGTGAGGCACCCAGTGAAGATCGAACTCACTACTCCATTGGAATTTTTTGGCGAGATAAGCTTGCTAACAATTACACGACGTGGAGGTGCCCAAATGATTTTCTAAGCATAGCTTAGATATAGCACAAAACCGAAAGCGTGGAGCATCGAGCGAGGATCCTACTCACTATTCAGTGGTCATTGATTTAGGGAGACAAACTTGCTAACCATTACAACATGCAGAAGTACTCGAATAGATAAGGTTTTGAATCCACACCAATCACCGTATCTTACTGTGCTTTCCAAATAACTACATCGGTAAAAACTGTCAGGTCTTTCTTGTACTGAAATATTTTTTTAATTAGTTTTCACGGTATTACTTATGAAAATAAGATGACAAGAGTTTTGAATTATTCACTCAATAACACTTATATGAATGGTAATTGAACGGAAAATTTGGGCGTTTCCCAGCACGAAACATTCGACATTCATTGACCCAACAGTTAGGTCCCCTCTTAGTTGAAATTTATAAAATCTTTTTATCAAGATATTTGTTCTAATAGTTAGTTTTCAAGCCCACTAAATGTTATAGAACTTTCTTATAGTGACGGAAATTTCATTCCAATCATCTTGTTTTTAATAGTGTGGAAAGATATATAATTATTTTCCCTTCGACTTACATCTGTTAGTTATTTTTGTTATTGTTGCAGTTGGAAGTTTTCAAGTGATGTGGGTTTTGTTATTTAATATTGCCCTCACTTTGTAACCTGAGTCTATAAAGTTCAATTATTTTTTTAAGGTTTAAAGGATTTATTCATTTGGAGCAATTTTTAACCATTGAGAAAACGTTTGGGTATCGGGGATAGTTTCGACAATTCTAAATAATTTGGACGTATATCCTAATGATGATATTATTACAAAGGATGAACCTCGCATTTGTGAGCCTAATTCTCAACCATTGAGCCTATATCACATGTGCTATGCGCACATTTAAGTGCACACAACAAAAACTGGTAATGTTCAATTGGCTCCAGTTATATGTGACCCCAAACAGAGAAGGCCTTTAAATTTCAAGACGAATGCGTAAGAATCATGTTCAATAACTTTTCTCTGCCTTTTTAAGACCTCTTATCTAGTTTCAATTTTCGCTTTATGATTGCCAACTTATCTCGCTGGCGTCTCAACAGCTGTCAAGGCTTGCAGGGTTGTAGATCACGGAAACGGGGAATAATTATGACTCTTTCCCAGCTTCTCTTCCATCTGTGCATCAACTCCCTCAAGCCATCCGGTATCTACGCACCAGAATCCCGGATCGAGTACTAGTCTGGTCCCGCTCACACACCCCAAGGGAACGGTCATAAAAGCAATGTCATTTCACAGATTATTCTTATTCATCGCCTCTGAAAAACCAATCAAATATGTTAGTCGGTATTATTATTAATGTTAAGTGAAAGGAGGAAAAGACAGATACCGTACTGCTGTAGTAATGGTGATGGTATCAGGATTATTATTATTATTCTTGTTGTTGTTGTTGTTTTTGTTGGTAGTAGTAGTAGTAGTAGTAGTAGTAGTAGTAGTAGTAGAGGTAATATTTGCAATAACTTTGTTTAAAAAGTCTTCGCTTTGTCCGCAATTACGAACCTCTTTTTATGAGAGACCATCATGCTGTGTGCGTTGTTGGTTCACGTTGTCGTTATTGTATACTGACTTAGTAAGCATTTATGGCCGAGAAATTAGACCGTTCACTTTCCGACTATGAGGACTCGCGTTCGAATTTCACCATGGTTGATTTGTCAGGAAGATGACTTCTTGATGTTATCGGCCCGTGCGACACCATTGAATAATGACTGAAAGGTTGACACAAGTCGCGTGTGTGAAATTTAGTAGGCACGCCTGTTTGGGGGTCGTTAATAGTTGTGCTAGCACATAGTCACAACCCATCGTGACCTAGAGTTTGCGCGCAACGTTCTTGTTCACACTGTTGATGAAGCAGAAAGGTCCGATCAACATATAAAACACAAGTGGGCTCTGTGGGTGCTGAACAATGTGTATAAGTAAGCATCTAAAATAGGGAATGGCAAGCCACCCTATCATGCGGATACAGTTGGAAACAAGTAGTCGGCCATATTGCATGATTGCATACTTAAAATTCTTGTTTTTGAAAGGTGTGTATCTATAAGCACGAATCTGCAATTATTGTGTGCAGACAAGTGGGGCGGGGAATTTGGTCTTCTTTTTTTTTTAAGAAGCAAAATCACTGATCATCTGACGTTTCAATAAATGTAAGCCTTTCGAGAACATTAAACATAAATTTTATAACTATTCCTGTTGCCTGGGTCCCAATTTGCTCTTTTGAGTTCTCTTATATTTCCCTGCTCTTCTTAATAGGAGTAGATAGGTTTGCTATCACCCGGTTCACACTTCTCCCCGTTTTTTGAACAGGAGTAGTTGTTTAACTCTTGTTTCCTTTCTAGAATTTGGTTTCCGGTTCCTTATACACCCTTTGCTCTATCTCGAGTGGCTCTTTGGTCTTGTACATAGTGAATATAATTGTATTAAAATAATATTTTATATCTGTCTCTTTTTACCAATCTCTCTCTCTCTCCCTCTATCGCACGCGCGCTTTCAAAAAATTGCTAACCATGGCTCTTTGCATTTTTCTCCCGTGCGATACTCGCAGCAATATGTCTCAATTACAACCCTCTTTGCGAGATTGCTCCTTTATCCATTTCCTCTAACTTGTCCAGTAAATTATCTGCAACTTTCCCTTGCTTTTCTTGCCCCCAATGTTTACTGCAAGTGTTAAATTCTCTAAGCCTTCTTCCCTCATAAGTTGACCCCAATTTGTAAGCTGTCGTATTGGTATCGAACAGTTTCTTTGTAATTTCAACTCTTGAAAACTTTGTTTGTCACAATTCTGCTCAAATCTTTTCTTTTCTTTCAAATCTGAAATATATTAGATGCATTTTCAACAACACATACGATTTTGTTAAGATGAAAGAGTTTTTGTCATTATTTGACGTGTCATCCACACGAATATCCCCATCCTTTTTTTATTAACTTTCGTCTGCTTCGTTACAATTGATTTAAATTTCGACGTTGTTAGCATCTTTTCACACAATTACTTGGTCACCGTTTTCGGATACATATATATATATATATATATATATATATATATATATATATATATATGTGTGTGTGTGTGTGTGTGTGTGTGTGTGTGTGTGTGTGTGTGTGTTGTTGTTGTTGTTGAAAGTGCTTAACCAAAAAGATTATTAGAAATATTGAAAGAGTAAGAAATAAAAATAAAGAAAGAATAAACTTTTCAAACCCAGTTTGCTCTGTGGTATTTATTCTTCTTCTTTCTACTCTTTTTTTTTTCTTATCTCCATCCTTAAATATTCTTCTGAAGCCATTTTCACCGTTTATCGCGACTTTTCATTATGATTTATGATTTCGTTATAATTCTCTTCTTTGATTTCTTCTTTCTTTTCTTCTTCATTTCTTTCTTTCATTCTTTCTTTCGTTAGTTCTTTGTTTAGTTCGTTCGCTCTATCTTTCATTCTTCCTTTCTTTCTTTCTTTCCTTCGTTCGTTCTTTTCTTTATGTTCTCTTTTTTTTTCTTTCTTTTTGATTAGATCAATTCTCTTTCTCACCTAGTTTCTTTTTCCCTTTCTTTTTTTCTGGGCAATCCTCCATATCTCTTTGTTACTTTCATTCAAGCGTTCATATTTCATTCGTTTACCTTTTATCTATTTTTCGTCTTTCTTTCTTTGTCGTCTCATTGATTCATCTTTTTATTTTTTTTAGTTTTCTGGCTTTTCCCTTTCAAAACGATTAAATTCCATAATGTTCTTGAAGATTTCAACTCTTTCTTTCTGTTTTTCTTTCTTATTGCTATTAGTACTTTCCAACTCTTTCCTTTAATATTCATTTATTTCAAACTCGTTCATTCTCAGCTTCTTTCATATTATATTCCCTTTTTTTTCTCTTCTTCTCTACTACATCTTTCTTTCCTTCTTTCTTCTATTTGCACACTTTCCTTCTGTCTTTCTCACATTCCGTTTATTTACAATGTCTCTCTCTCTTTCGCCTTTCTTCACTCCGTATGCGATATGTTTTAATAACCCCAGTTACATATATTTAGCACAACTGTTATCCTTGACACAAGGACATTAACATCGCTAACACCATTCCTTATCTCCGGGACAAGGAATAAAGTGCTGTCAAATTTGCTGATGTAGGAGCTGACATCGACAGCAAGATAACAACAAACAACTCGAGTCCATTCCGGCTTTTACAACCGGCCAAATGGGAATGACGTCAGTGATGGCCGGGGATCGGCGAAAAAAGGCTGAGGTTGCAGTACAAGTGGGACTCTCTCATCAGGTAAATGTATTTGTCGATTGGCAAATACTCTTTCGCTCACTCTCACAAACGGATAATAAGGTGACTCCACACACACACACACACACACACACACACACACACACATATATATATATATATATATATATATATATATACTAAATTAGTCATTTATGTGTGGAAATTGAAGGAGAAAAATAAAAAGGATCCGATTGTGAACTGGAATTTTTTATAAAAAGCAAAACTTTACAAGAATCATAGCAACTCCTGCAACCTTTGTCACCAAGAAAAATTAGCTATAATAACAATTGCAGACAAAAAAACTTTTGAATCAGAGAACTGAAATTATAATCCGTTGTATACATACTAAAAAGTTCCTTCTGAGTTCATTTGAAGTGGGATGAAAAGAACCTATTTCGTTTAATCCCCCACCGATACATTTCTAATACACTTGATTTTCCCTCCTCCTCGTTAACTTCTACCACACCTCACGACGTGCGCTTATTCCTCTTTTTTAATATAGAGTTCATAATTTTTTTTTAATATAGCGTTAGGAAATCAATTGACCGAAATCGCCTGAAGATACCGAAAAGTTGAAACCAAGGTAGTGAAATCATTGATTTCCTAATTTTTATACTTATATATATATATATATATATATATATATATATATATATATATATATATATATATATGCGTACGTCTCTCACAATAAAACAGCACTTAGCAATATAGTGATGTGAGTTCGACTCTCAAATGTAACCAAACAGTCGTGACTCTATGCCTTTCTAAAATAAACTTGAAATATGGTGGTGTGTGATATGAATAGAAGAGAAACTGGTAAGTTAGACGACGATTGACACTTGATTTGAAGCGACCAAGATTGAAGCGATCGAGATTGAAGCGATCAAGATTGAAGAGATCAAGATTTAAGCGTTCGGGGAAACAACCACACTGTTTCACAAAACAATTGCAGTTCTTGGGGAAAAAAAGCTGAAGTTTCTTCTTACGTTTGGTACACTCGGAAAATGAGTGTAATTTGACTTTGCTTGAAAATCAGTATTCGAAATTCTAGTTTTTGGTCCAGGTCTAAATTATGGAACTTTCCCAATCACGAAGGAGTTAGATTGGGAGATGGAAATAGGACTTAGTATCAATAAATAGGACCAGTAAACGAAGGAATACGGCGCGTCCTAGGCGTAAAGGCTGAACTAGTGAAACTAATAAATGGAGTGCTCATCTAAATATTTGCCATGAAAATAGCGATAGCGTATGGGAAAGAGAATGGATAATCAGTCTTCCTCCACAAAATGGCGTAAACGATTTTGAAGTTTATCAAGACTGGAAAGTATTTGATTGATTTTTACGGCTTATCAACCCTTTTCAGATTATTTAACGCCAGAAAATGTTATTAGAGTCTAGGGATTTTTTGTCAGTAATAATGGTTTAATAATACAAGTCTTACTAATTAACCCATAGCTGGGGAGAAAAAGTGGATTCATATCTTTAGTAAGGGTTTTTGCGCGTAAGTGACTATAACGAACCCAACAGGAATTGGAACTCTGCTCACCGATTAACAATTCTGAGTCATTATGAATTAAAACACCTGCACATTCAAGCTTAAAGCACCTAGTATTCCCAGTATTTCACTCATTTAGTTACTGACCGGGTTCGATATTGCTTAACTTCGATGATCGTACGGGGACCAGTGTTTCAACGTGATGTCGTTATAAGTCTAGAGTGGAAAGTAGAGCTTAAAAAACTCCAGCCCCGATTAATACAGAACCGAATATCAAAATATATATATATGGTTTACCAAAGGCTATGAATTTGTGGCCTTGTGCCGTACTAGATGCTAATATTTATTAATCTTACCGTAGTCTAGAATTTATTTATTAAACTTGGCCAACTTTGATTGATGCAGTAAGGTTCCAACACACCCTTTAGCATATAATGCACAAAATTAACTTCTTGCTCATTGTTCAACAGTAAGATATATATTTAGATATGCGCATGCGTACTTGCACACAAACACACGCACATGTATGTGTACGTGTTGCACTTTTCACGGAGTGCTCAGCTGATTTGATTTGAAGTACCAGTTCATATATAAATAAAACCCATCATTTTTACGGGTACTATGCTAGTCATAATCTCATAATCTTAAAAAATAAGTAGTTTACTATATCTGAAGTGGGTTTATAGCAATATATACATGTGTAGTTTTCATCCTACGGCGTGGTGCAATAGGGAGTTGCTGTGTGAGAAACAGATCTCCGGTGACTAGACTACTTTCATATAAGTGCATAAATCTTAAATTAAACAAGAAAACAAAAAATGAAGGACCTTGTAGGATAGAACTCACAAGCAGCCATGCATCAATACCCTATCGATTAAAGTCATTACTATTTCGCCTTTACCCACGAAACTATACATGCAACTGCTGCTTGCTGAGTAGAAATGTTTTTTACTTATAAGTAAGAACCTTATCCATTTGCAGAAGGTAAAACTCATCTCAAAGATAGAAGTGTTTGCATACACATTCATCTATAAGCATTCATTCCGTTAACGCCTACTTGTAGTTTCGCGGTTCTTTTAAGGTAGACAAAAGAAATTTAGCCATTAGAAATTGATAGGTCCTTTTTATTTCTTTTTTCAGGAAAGACATGTGATTTCGGAGTGGATAAACAGGTGTGCATTCATGTATTCTCTCAAGCATTTGCACGGCGCCGGTAAAGGAAATGCAACGAACACTCTCGAGTTATTTCGTATAATTACGAGGACAGTGAATCCATACACAAATAAATACACAATTTCTGACGGTGCTATATTAAATTTTTCTACGAATATACATAAAAAGATACAAATTTCTTATTTATTACTCTCACTAACTCTCTCTCCCCCTCTCGCACACACTTGCGCTTACCCTCGCCCTCGTTCCCTCTCTCTCTCCTTCTCTCTCTCTCTCTCTCTCTCTGTCTCTCTCTCTATCTATATATATATATATATATATATATATATATGCTCTCTCTCTTTCATATATATATATATATATATATATATATATATATATAGAGAGAGAGAGAGAGAGAGAGAGTGACAGAAAATAAATACCAAACGGTGAGGGACAAAATGTATATATATATATATATATATATATATATATATACTCTCTCTCTCTCTCTCTCTCTCTCTCTACATCTATCTCCGTCTCACATTTCCTTACATTTTTCACGGTAAATATATTTGAATCAATCAGATATATAAGTATATACTGATACATACTCGTAAAAATGCATGAACACAAACAGATAGATAGATAGATAGATTTAGATAGAATAGACCAGGATAAATAGAGAGAGAGAGAGAGAGAGAGAGAGCGAGAGAGAGAGAGAGGAGAATACCATCGATAAGTAGATATCAATAGACAAAGACTAGATATAGCAAGGGATGAACCATCTTTCCCTCTCATCCTGAAAGTGCGCGTCCATCGTGGCCCGCAGAAACCATTCCAACAGATTGCATATCAGGATATGAAATGTATTCTAATGGCGTTTGTCACGTTTTCTCATTTTATTAACTGAAATTTTCATCACAGCCGAGCAAATAGAATTACCGGTTTCACTGGGACTGCGACCGACACCGAGCTTGTGATCTGGGCAGGAAGAGAAACTAAAATGATGAGAAAAAGAGCGCGCGTTGCAGAAAGCAGGGAGGAGAGGTTCGGTACTGTGCAGCACAGCAGAAAAACGGACCTCGTGCAAATTATTATAACATTTCCGATTCTGGGGCACGATACGTCTGTGTGTATATGTGGGGGGTTTTTTCTGCATGTGCGTATGAGAGTGTGTGTGTGTGTGTGCGTGCAAACGCGCGTGTTTGTGTGCGTAATCTTTATCTCATTACAACTGCAGATTTCCCATGCTGCATTTGAGAGCGGGGTTTTCGATTGGACAATCGCGACGAGTCCTGCCACCAGTCGCCATTATCAGACATTCATTATTTGAATGCGATGAAGAAGATTGCTTATATTCTACCTTAATCTTTGCTTTTATATCTTAACACAGACGGATATATATATATATATATATATATATATATATATATATATATATATATATATATATATATATACACACACTCACATACATACATACACACACACACACATATATAATATATATATATATATATATATATATATATATATATATATATATATATTTTGTTTTAAATTTCATATATTAGTAGAAGATTGCTTAATATAAGAAAGAGAGACCGTCTGCATATAGATGTTGTGTTTTTTGAACATCAGGATCGACATTTTATATATATATATATATGTGTGTGTGTGTGTGTGTGTGTGTGTGTGTGTGTGTGTGTGTGTGTGTGTGTGTGTGTGTGTGTAAATATAGTAAAGTTATGAAGAATTTGGAAGTGCTATCTGATGATCCGGCGTCATTTAAAAGGGCTCTGGTGAAATAAATTATTATAATGGTACTTTTAAAGTGGTCTGTTTTTTTTTTTATATATATATATATATATATATATATATATATATATATATATATATATATATATATATGATGACATATAGAAAGACAGATATGAAATTTGGACAACGCAATGAAACTTAAATTTGAAAATACTGGAATAAGGAAGGTGGATAGACCCCCGCACTCCTACAAACACATACACACAACCTCGCATAGATAGATAGATAGATAGATAGATAGATAGATAGATAGATAGATATCGACAGACTGAATCTGACTTACTAAATTGTTTTGTACAGGGCCTGGCCTGTTTTGTAAATTCTGTTCAGCTTACGCTTGGGCTTTTCGATAACGGATGAGATCGGTGAGTTTTCTGGCACTGTCTGTCTGTTAAGTTATTTCTAATATGGTACTGATCACTATTTGTGAAAGGTCTACTAATATACTCTTGTTGTGGCTAACAAGGCCTGCACAGGAGAAACATATTTTGCACCATTCATCACTTTGATTGCCGAATCAATTATTTCCCCATTCTTATCTGCCCTCTTGGCATTTGCCCAACTTATTTCATGTTCTTGGAAAATCTTCAGCCCTTCATGTATTTTACGCCTGCACTTATCTTGATCACAAGCAGCAGATTTCTACCAAGGATTTTCTACATGGCAGGTTGCAAGGGAGTCTTTAAATGTTTTTAAATGTAGCGAATGCCGTAGAACAACACACCGTCGAGAATTTGTTAGGATATTCTGGTGGGTATATTAGACAAGTGTATTAATGCATACATATCAACACAGTAATCTAATCTCTCCCTCTCTCTCTCTATCTCTCTCTCTCTCCCTCACTCTCTCTCTCTCTCTCTCTCTCTCTCTATATATATATATATATATATATATATATATATCAGGTCATCCCATAAGTTCTGTCCGTATTTTAACTTTTTGTTAAAATGAACGAAATTTAAAGAGTATTTTATAATATCTAATGGAGCTGAACATTATTTTTATGTTTAAATGCATTTAAACTGATCAAATTTTATTTCAGAGAACAATAAAATTACATTTTGTTTGATTAAAACCCTGTTAACATGGAAGTACCCAAGAATCATTTGAGGCACATAATGCTTTATGAGTTCAAGAAAGGAAACTCAGCAGCCGAAGCGGCTAGAAACATTCACTCAGTTTATGGAGAGGAATGCGTGAATGAAAGAACTTGTAGAAGATGGTTTGCAAAATCCAGAGGTGGAGATTTCACTCTTGAAGATGAAGATCGAATCGGACGTCCAGTTGAGTTTGATGAAAAGCTTCTTGAAGCAGCCCTTGAAGAAAATCCTGCTTTATCAGTTGAGGAATTGGAAAACAACCTCAAATCCCGAGTTGACATCTGCTCTTCTCTCCATTCTCGCCAACTTGTTTCACCATTTTTGGATAGACTTGTGACTGGCGACGAAAAATGGATCTTTTTATCGAAATGTTAAGCGTCGTAGACAGTGGCTTGGTAAAGGGGAAGGACACCAGCCACAGCCGAGAAGGGAACTTCATGGGCAAAAGGTTCTTCTTTCAATCTGGTGGGATCGCCAAGGAATAATCCACTTTGAATTCTTACCACCTAATGCAACAATTAATGCTCAAATATACTGTCATTTAGAGCGTTTGAACCAAGCATTGAGAAAAATAAGACCTGCTCTAGAGAATCGAAAAGAGGTGATGTTTCATCAGAACAATGCGCGACCCCACACAGCAAGAATCACGTCACAAAAGATCGAAGAACTTGTTTGGGAGAAAATTCCTCATCCAACTTATTCTCCCGATCTTGCTCCTTCAGACTACCATTTGTTTCGTAGCTTGCAGAATCATTTGGAAGAATCAGCTTTTGTAACCCAGGAAGAGGTTAAAACTGACATTTGTGAGTTCTTCGTATCAACTCCAAAAGAATTTTACAGTAATGGAATTAGTAAGCTTGTTAATAGATGGAAGGAAGTCATAGATAATCAGGGAAGATACATTGTTGATTGAATCTGTAATTAAATGTAACATTTGGTCACTTGTTTTCTTTATTCAAAATTCGGACAGAACGTAAGGGATGACCTGATATATATATTTCTCTCTCTCTCTCTCTCTCTGTTTCTCTTTATCTATATATCAGTGTTTATATCTATCTATCAATCTATCTATCAGTGTTTATATCTATATATCAGTGTTTATATCTATCTATCTATCTATCTATCTTCATCTATCTATCTATCTATCTATCTATCTATCTATCTATCAGTGTTTATATCTATATATCAGTGCTTATATCTATCTATCTATCTATCTATCTATCTATCTATCTATCTATCTATCTATCTATCAGTGTTTATATCTATATATCAGTGTTTATATCTATCTATCTATCTATCAATCGATCTATCAGTGTTTATATCTATACACCAGTGTTTATATCTATCTATCTATCTATCTATCTATCTATATATATATATATATATATATATATATATATATATATATCAGTGTTTATATCTATTTATCAGTGTTTATATCTATCTATCAGTGTTTATATCTATCTATCTATCTATCTATCTATCTATCTATCATCAGTGTTTATATCTATATATCAGTGTATATATCTATCTATCTATCAATCTATTTATCTATCAGTGTTTATATCTATATATCAGTGTTTATATCTATCTATCTATCTATCTATCAGTTTTTATATCTATATATCAATGTTTATATCTATCTATCTATCTATCTATCTATCTATCTATCTATCAGTGTTTACATCTATCTATCAGTGTTTATATCTATCTATCTATCTATCTATCTATCAGTGTTTATATCTATCTATCTATCTATCTATCTATCTATCTATCTATCTATCTATCAATCCATCTATCTATCAGTGTTTATATCTATATATCAGTATTTATATCTATCTATCTATCGATCTATCAGTGTTTATATCTATATATCAGTGTTTATATCTATCTATCTATCTATCTATCTATCTATCTATCTATCAGTGTTTATATCTATATATCAGTGTTTATATCTATCTATCTATCTATCTATCTATCTATCTATCTATCTATCTATCTATCTATCTATCTCTCAGTGTTTATATCTATATATCAGTGTTTTTATCTATGTATCTATCTATCTATGTATCTATCTATCAATCTATCTATCAGTGTTTATATCTATATATCAGTGTTTATATCTATCTATCTATCTATCTATCTATCTATCTATCTATCTATCTATCTATCTATCTCCTTGCTTGTATATTAATGACAATGTTTCATCTTAAAATCTCAAATAATACAAAGAAGCCTGTAAAAGATACCGACTAATTTATAAAAAAAAAAAAAAAAAACAGAATTAATATTCACTGATAGAGAAAAAAGTCGGTCTCAGGGTTCCAACAAGATAAATGGTAATCAAATTTCTTTCTTTTGAAATGAAAGTTTGGAACCACGTAAATATTCTCGAAGATTAAAGTTTGATATATTTTGTTTTTTGGGTTTTTTTTTTTTTAATAATGACACGTGTTCGTAATCTTTGGAATGACTCCGCACCCCCCCCCCCCCAGCCGAAAATTAATAAATAATCTTCTGCATTTCAAATGAAGAGAGGCTTTTATTTGAAGCATCCAACTCTGGGAAAAAGCTAAATTGGATAAAAAGAACACGATTGAAAAGTAAAAACCAATCTAACGCCCATTCATCACCTCGTTTCTCTCGGGGGATCGAATTGTAAGAGTCAAAAGCGAAGTGAATAATTAACAGCAACAACAAAAAAAGAAATGAAACAAACATTAGTCGGAAAAGGTTGACACAAGAAGACATCGAAAAATAATTTGAAAAAAATATTTATAAAAATCAACAATCATATTCGATGAAAAGAGATACTGTCCAACTATTCACTAAAATTAGCACAGATAATAAAACGTAGCTTGAAATGACGCCATTATTTTCTTTATTGTTGTCAAGTTAAACAAACCAATACCACTGTAGGAATTATGATCTCTAACAGAAACAATAAAGTTGGGACCTTGCGCTAGACAGCTTTTTACTAATTAATCACTCAATAGAAGTTCCAAGAGCCACTCATTCTAGAGAGTTACTGAATAAGATTTTATGAATGTTAGAGGAGGAGGTAAGATGTGCAGATTCTGAGGATATATATAGATAACGTTTGACCCTAGATTTTAACGGGTTAAGATTTTCGCAATCGGGTAAGCAAACACTCGGGTTCTGTTCCACAAATTAACAGTTCCTGAGAAGAAGCTTCCCGAATGGAACTTCCTCCTTACTGATGGAATACAAAAGTAACGAAGGATAATTTATTATATGTACGTGACATGGCGTGTCCTATTTGAAAAGGTCTGAACTGGTGGAAATAGTGAATGAAGCCCGACAGAATCTTTGCCATGTAATTAGCAATAGGATAGCTAGGGTCTTGCAACGTCTCGCTTGTGGGAAAGAGTTTGTAGAGTAGAAAATAAGCCCATGAATCAAGACCATGAAGTTAGTAATGGGCAACTCCAACCTGATATGGAAGTATTACTCCGTTTTTGGTCTAAGCAGTCCCTTACAACGAGACAGATTAGACCAAAAGCAATATCGGGGGGCGGGGGTTCCAGGTACTGTCTGGATCAGTATAGACAGGACTGGTGCGTACTACCCCGAAACCCCATCCGGTGGAGGCAAGCCTGATTGCGTGTCCTGGTCAGTGCTTTGTGACCCTTGCTATCTTATCAACATTTACTTTTTTTTACCTACATTTATATAAATTACAAATTAAACGAAGCACAACTGACTATTAAAGGATGAAACATTTTCGTGGATTTTGACGTCATTTTGGGGTCTTTTTTTTCGTCCAAATCTGTTAATTTTATTTAGTTCATGCTAAGTTAAAAAAAAACTCTATATAAAATTTACTATTTTAATCCATAATGTTAAATGAGTTAAACTTTATAGCAAGAAAATTTTCAAGCTGATGTTAAAAATTGCTACAAAACATTGATTTTTTTTAAGATGGAATGATCTACTAAGATATGTTCCTAATTTGTACTTAGATACATTGTATTTATTTTCAGTTATTCTAGTTGAATTATTCACCTATATTGCATATGATCCTTTATTGTACATAATTAGGTTATCATAAAATTTATAATTTATATGAATAGTACCTTATGAAAATTGAAATTTAGTATCGTATCATAGATTGCGGTGACACGAGACTTTTGCAATATTCCTGGGCAAAATGTAACGACTATTTTACCAGTGTCTTTAACGATGGGCCGTATATGATTCCAACTTGATGTCTAGGGTGAAATTGTGTCCGAGTAAACGTTCAAATCAAGAAGCCTTCTTGAAGTACACAAGATAACCTTATTAAATATTGCACATTTCTGTGGATCAAGCTAACAGACATTACTACATCGGTAAGTTCAATCCTCGCATTTGGATCACTTTTGTGAATTTGTTCCTTAGCTAATGGTAATAAGGAGGTCGTCTCGCAGTAGAATAAACACAGTAAACAGTAGAGTAGACATAGTTAATATTTAGCACATCCATTTAACCACATCCAAATACTATTGTAAGTTTTTCGATCCTCGTTAGGTACTCAATACAGGTGGCCTTTTGCAAAATGCAGCAAAACATTTAATAGCCACCCGCGTGTTTTATCACAGATGAATTTTGATAAAAAGGTTTGGAATGAGAAATCGAAGATACGAGTTCAAATTCCTGTCGGGTTTGTTATATTCACTTCGGCACAAATAACCTTGGATATGTTATAAATCCATGTCTTCTCCCAGCAGTATAGACTAGGTTTTATAGCCTTGACTGGCAACCAGCCTACCGTAAAAAGAAACAGCAGTTCTGTGCCATTCTTTATTTTATAAATCTATATACAGACTTTACTAAGAAAGTCTTGGTGGTATTCTAAACACTTGGCTGTTTCCTCTCAAGAACAGGTCTTTTCTCTCTTTTGACTTACTATTAATTACCTCCCTTTGTTGTCACTCTCCGAAATAAAATGTCGTCATCTTGTTAGTTCATTAAAGCCTTTCAAATCTCTCACGTCTTTTTGTCATCACTTCACTCTTCTTATTCAAATTAATGTTTTCAGTATTAAAGTTGTTTGCCGTTGGATTATTTTAAATTTAGAAGTTAGTATATTAAGTATTATGCGACTCAAAATTATATGTGCGAGACATCCACTGGAAATCGAATACGATATTGTAGGTCTTATGGTCACATCATATTGAAACACCGGTACCCCTACGATCACCGAAGTTAAGCAACGTCGAGCCTGGTTAGTAACTTTATGGGTGACCGCTTAGGAATACCAGATGCTGTAAGTCTGGATGTGCAGGTGGTGTAATGTATATTGGCTCGGAATTTTAAATCAGAGAGCCGAATTCCAATTCCAGTTTGCTTCGTTATATTTATTTACGCGCAAATACCTTTGGAAAAGGTATAAATCAATCTCCACCAGCTATGGATTAATTAGTAAGTCTTGTATCACTAAATCGTTATTATCTCAAAAAAATTCTCACATTTTACAAATTTTTTCTGGCTTTAAATAACTTGCACGGGGTTAAAAGCCGTAAAAAACGAATCAATCAATTGATATTGTAGCAATGGGAGGTGAGACAAGATTAGTAATCAGTGAAAAATTAGTGAAACGTTTAATTAAGAAATCTTATGATAATTTCTATTTGTTTTTTTCGTTTTTGTACTGCAACAAAAACGGTGCATTGTGGTTATACCGTTAAAAATGATCTACTGAAAGAACAGGAAGTCCATTTCCTCTCCAACTTGCAACTTTGTGTGTCTGCGTTCGTGTTCACTTCAATAATAATGATCTTGTTTTTGCATGCGTTTGCGTGTACTAAAAAACCTGAGCAGAGAATATTATTATTATTATTTAAAAAAAGAATGAAAAATAACAAAAGGTTGTCCAAAATAGTCATCTCCATGAAATCATATTTTTATTTTGTATAAATAAGGCATACATTTAGATCGGCATAAAATTTAACTACTAATTACAGAGTAGCTCCCCTTATTTTTAGTTGAAAATAATTGCAGGACATAATCTATATAATTGCAGGACATAATCTATATATAAGAAGATATTTGCTATCGATATTAACGGCTGAATTTGGTGATTATTAATAAAAGATATTTTATTTACTCTAAATGCTTCAGTTATTTGTACAATAACAAATATTTTCATTACTAACTTTATTACATCAACAAATAAATCTGATATTAATATCTATATGTATTGATATTCAATTTATTTACTGTTGTTATAATTTTGTTATATTAAATCATTATTCGGTGTATCTGGCCTTATTAAAATTGTTTCGGGTCAGAAAAATTTTAATAACTTCGTCGTTTCACAAGCGGATAAACTTTACACAATCCTAACTGAAGTTGTCTCAAGGGAACGTCATGTTAAATTTAACTTCAAAACAGGGAAAGGCGGAGAGAGAGAAATAGAAAGACAGAGTGAGTGGCACATTCCCATAGCAAATATCAAGAGGGATAATTCCTTTATTCAAGAATGATACTGAATTCCTTTTAGAACGAATTGTGCTCTGAATCTTTTAATCGTTTTTAAATTGATTCGTCCGTTTCTAATTGGCTTGTGATAAATATTCTTGCTGCATCCATGTTTCCATCAAACATATCAATTTCCGGGACCCGCGGATAATTTCGTTGATTCGCACTCGATCACTTTAATGCATTCTGATTGCTGTGTCGAGGGAGAGAACGACTAAGAAAGTAATCTGGTCGCGTTTTTCCATAATCTGGTCCTATTTATTGACACGAAGTCTTATTTTCATTCGACAGTCTATCTATCTCGTGATTGGGATGGATGCTTCCGTAATCACTACCAGTACCAAATGTCGGGGATCGAACTGAGAATAATATATATATATATATATATATATATATATATATATATAATTTCGAACGCAGATTCTCAAGTTTTGTAAACAAGTAGACCCCCGCGAACAGTAGGACAAGTGCATTAGAGTTTTTCTAATAACAGTAAGAGTTTAAAAATTCTCATTGACCACATTAGTGTATATCTATTATATGTCTGTTCATATCTATTTTAGTGATATTTGTATCACCAGTACAAATCTATCTATCTATTTATCATAGTTTCTTCCTATCTATTCATCTATCTATTCCAATCTGTTCATTATCTATCTATCTATCTATCTATCTATCTATCTATCTATCATAGTCTGTTCCTATCTATCCAATTTAGACTGGTATTATATATATCTCTTATATATATATATATATATATATATAGAGAGAGAGAGAGAGAGAAAGGGGGAACTTTCAAGACGTTCTGAAAAATTGGAATGTGGATCAAATTAATTTCAGAAAACTCTAAATAAATCTTCTGCGTTCGAGCCATTCTAAAATAAGATGAGGATTCGCCTTAGATTCAATACAGAAAATCTTGGAGAATAGTATAAATAAATTTAAAATGAGCAAGAAAATTTTAAAGAAAATACAGAAAAATATTAGCAGCTTCTAAATTTTCTTGTTTTCTTTCATCACGAGAAACGCCAGCTTACCGGATATATAATATATATATATATATATATATATATATATATATATATATATATATATATTCACTTTTTTAAAAAGCCTAATGTTTCAGGTGTACAGACGCATACTGCGTCAGATGTTTAATTTAGGGTCTTTTATCTTCGTGTATTGCTTCATTGGTGTATTTAGGGGTGTAATGGCTTTATTCTATTTACTGAGATCCTACATTATATTGGTGTAAAATCTATCAAATTGTTTGCGAAAAAATGACCGCTAAAATACAACACACTCAAAGGTATCATCTGATACCAAAACCTTCGAGGTTACACAAACATACACACATACATGTATACATATACATGCATTCATCTAAAGTTAAAAAAAAAATGAAAATAACACTGCCATATCATTTTAACAGAAGATATATTTACCAAAATTACACAAAAATATCTTGAAAAGAGTGAATTTATTTAATAAAATCGCTATTGGCTCATCTACGGCTTCCAGACGACTTCGAAATCTCCTGTAACACCAGTCTCCTTGTTTAAGTTGATGAATGCTGTCATAATCCTTGATCTATAATCCTTCAGTTCATCTTTGGTGTTTCAAGGAGTTTTGCTAGTCTCTCGCTCAACTGTGCCCCACACATAATAATCAAGGGGATTGCAGTCTGTGGAGTTAGGTGTTCAGATGTAAGCGGTGATGCTGTCGCAGAAATTGCGTTGGGTTCTCTTGCTTGTGTAGCATGGTGCAGAGTCCTGTTGCCATAGACAGGTTTTCCCAGCAGCCACTCTCTTCAAGTCACATAGTTTGAAGTATTGTGGGAAAATGAATGGAGACAGAAAATCGCCATCATTAGGGATCACTCCAAACACCATGAAGTTGATTGAATATATCATCCAAATCTTTTAGAATCATGTTAGTATTGGATTTTGGAGTAAATATATATTGATATAAATTGGCGACAATTTCTCCATCGCGCCATATATATATATATATATATATATATATATATATATATATATATATATATATATATATATATGGAGACACGGTGGAGAGCTGAGTTCGAATTCAGTCGAATTCATTACATTGACTTACAAGATAATGCCCTTTGGAAAAGGTATAAAGCCATCTGTTCTCCCCCCAATCAATGGCTAAATAGAAGGACAGACTGGATTCTATAGCCTTGAGTGGCAACCAGTATAATAGAACAACTCTGAACCCAAAACCTGTAGAGGGTCGTTTGGGAACCTTAAATCATACTATGCCCCTGTTCTCTGTATTCCGCCCTTCCAAAAAGTGTGATTAGTTTTGCACATGCCTTCACCATTATAATCAAATGATATGTTCGGTTCGAGTAGTCTGGCTCTTGGTTCTAAGAACTGAGTATAGGATTTGTGTATACGGAATAAATTCCAATAACCAAAAAATACTATTCTTAAAAGAGTGCTCAATATAGAGTAGAGCAAATATAATTGTTTATTCGAAAATTATAACATAAACATGTTATAAAATCACTACAAAAATAGACATTTTGTTTCAACACTTCTGGTGTCTTATCAAGTGATGATGTTGAATCCCTTTGTTCTACAGAAGTGTTGAAACAAAATGTCTATTTTTGTAGTGATTTTATAACATATTTATGTTATAATTTTCGAATAAATAATTATATCTGTGTATATTTCTGAGATGAGGGATTATGTACACTATTTACATCTTTGTCGCCATGTTTATCACATTGTTTCGGCCTTCTTCAGGTGGTTGGAATGTCGAACCCTTTATTTCGCTCACTGGGGTACGCTGTTCTAGTTCCACGTGCCATGTCTAATGGATGTCAGGTATCTCATATTAATTCCCCTCTGAACTCACACTCTTTGGGTCCTGTCACTGGATCTAACCAACGCCTTTATCCACTGTGTCATGTGTCCTTGAGGACATCTATCTATGAATTTCTGGGTATTATAAACCTAATGTCTTCAGCAACCATTTTTACCAATGCTCATATTGCAATTTTTGCTGTTATCATTTCATGGTTTTTATCAGAGCTCATATTGTAATTTTTGTTGTTATTATCGCTTTTCTCTGGCACTCCTTATTACTGGTTCCCATAATGTATTCATTTCTATGCTTGGTCGGCTCAAGAGATTTTTGTGACCTAGCGTATGTGCTGATTCCTTAAGTTTACGAATTTTCCAATGATTTTCTTTGTCTATGATCTCAACCTGATCCCACAGAGGGCAGTGATCTCCCTTTTCTCTCTATATGTGGTCAGCCATGTCTGATTTTTCCACTTCCCCTCGTGTTACAGCTTTCTGGTGTCCTTGAAACCTTACCTTGAGGGAGCGGCCTGTCTCTCCTTTATATTTTTTCCACAGCTGCACGGCATAGAGTACACACAGCAGAAAAAACTAGGGCTATGCGGGTACAAGAGGAGGACAACAACACTCAGAAAACAGTCTACCTGCCTGCCTTATGCAAAGGGGTTATCAGAGAAAATACAAAGGATCTGCTATCCATATAACATCAGGACAGCCTTCAAAAGCGGGACGACACTTCACAGATATCTCTATTTCTGAGATGAGGTATTGTAACTATTTACGCTATTCGGATTGTTGTCCCCATATTTATCGTCACACTCACAATATTTGCAACCGGTGGAGTAAATGAAACACTTTCTCATTGACGTTAATGTGCGACCCAGGAATGTGAATGTTATATTTCCGCCCATTTCAGAAAATAAACATGAGAAAAACATCTACCCAAACTTCATCGAACCAATCTTCAGAAACGCCAACATACAGATTGACTACAAAGGCCAATACGTTGTGTGTGTGTGATAATAAAGAAAGGGACAAGGGTCCAAACAATGTAAATAAATAAATAAATAGTTAAATCTCCGTATTTTATATTTGACATTTAGCATTGTTTCATTTAGTTTTACTGTCATGTGTATTCTTTTGTTGATATTAAATTTAAATATTTGCATACATATATATGTATATTCTTGGGCATTGATTGATTTGTTTTTGCGGCTTATCAACTTTTTCGCAGATTATTTAAAACCAGAAAATATTTTTAAATTGTAAGAATTTGTGAAGATAATAAGGATTTTCCTGATACAAATCCTACTAATTAACCCATATCTAGGGGAAAGAGGTGTATATATATATATATCATTCCCGGGTATATTTGTGCGTAGGTGAATATAATGAACACGACTGGAATTGGGGTTAGGCTCTACGAGCTCCAGTTCCGAGCCGTTATCCTTTAAACCTCAAGTACATTCCAGCTCTACAACATATGGTATTCCCAATCGGTCACCCTTCGACAAGGCTCGACATTGCTTAACTTTGGCGATCGTACGAGTGTGGTGTTTCAGCATGATGTGGCCGTATGTTGGATACATCGACATAATAACGAAATACGCATCATTTTCATTGCTCGGTCTCTTATCGATTTTTTTGTTTTTATACTTACACCATCTTTAATAAAAGAAAAAGGTTTCTATTTAAAATAGATCAAATTATTAGCGATACATACACATATGTAAATATAAGTTTCATTAAAGATGACTGACAATTTTATGACTGCGATCAAGATATTTATTCAATTTTTCTTTTGTTCTCTTTTCTGAACATAAAGTGTTTAAAATTATCCGAACGCACTCAGCTATTCTATTATCCATTACAAATGATTTTTTTTAACTAAATATGTAGATTTTTATATATGTGTTTTTTAGTGATGGGGATTTTTCCCAAACACGGTCAGCACGTTGTGGCCGTGTTCATAGTTGATATTATTGAATAGTGAACAAAAGTGAAAAATTTTTGAAACAACGAATCGAATTAAAAGCCAGTGACTTCTTTTTAGAAGCAAACTGGTGGCCATGTTAAAACAAGTTTTAGCCTTTGCTACTACTACTACTACTGCTGCTGCTGCTAATAATAATAATAATAATAATAATAACAATAATAATAATAATAATAAAAGAAAGTCACATTTAGTAACATCGCCATTCTTGTTTCTACTATGCAATAACTACTTTTCATCATATCACATAACAATAATAAAAGATTAAAACAATTGAAACGTGAAGAAAAAGATGGATCTTCATATATATATATATATATATATATATATATATATATATATATATATATATATATATATATATATGGCTTAATGCGCTGTAACTCCAAAGATACAAAAAGGACAAGCGGAAAATCTGGGATCAAGCCCTACTCTGTCCATGTGTTGATCAGTTCTGTTCAGCCAACAAAATATTGGCCTGTGAAGTCAAATCAGAGATCGGCGTATGATTCAGATGCGTCGTCCATAACTCGTCGATTCCTGACTCAAACGGCAAAAGAGAGAAAATCCGTTCCTCTACCAGCAACGAAGCTTTGTTCCGAGTTCAAGAGGTCCTTTCTTTCCTCTCTTTTTGTGGCATTTTAGTGGTCGCTGATCTGCTCCTCTATAGAATACGGCAATAGAAGCAGAAAAAGAACTGTAAATTTTCTCTCCACTCCCAGACACTGGCTCCAGAAAAACGGCTTGGTGAATATTAACCGTAGATGTACAACCCCCGTGAGGATTATCAGAATTATGAAGGGAGATCAACTATATAGTATCAGATAACTGGTGAATGGTGGTCTTTTAGATTAGCAAAACAGTGAATTAGTTCGTCATATCCGAAGAGGCAAATACTAATTGATTCTGGATAATAAGATTCTACATGGGCGTGCGTGTGAAAGAGAATGAAACAAGCAAAATAAAATAGACAGGCAGACAGAAGGGCAGACATTCAGATAGATAGATAGATAGATAGATAGATAGATAGATAGATAGATAGATATAATTGTGTGAGAGAGAGAGAGAGAGAGAGAGAGAGAGCGAGAGATGACCAGAATATGGTAGGTAGAAGAAATTTCATAGGCTGATTATGAAGGAGTGATGGTAGATCTGCAAAATCTTGCATGTATTAATTTCAACTCTTTTTATTTCAACTCTTTTTTTTATTAATAACCGCATTGTTCTTTTCCCGGTAGACAATATCAGATTGTTCAAAGTAGACTGTTCTTCCTGTTAGTCTAAAAAGTCACTAACATCAATGTGATATTGGTTTCCAGCCAAGTGTTTTTCATGTTGGGGAACTGAAAATAGTCGAATCAGAAAAATGGGGAGGGTGATCAACCAAGTCAAAGCAACAATCACTCACAACAGCCATTGAAACAAGGAACTTGTGTGCTGGAGTATTGTCCGGATGAAACAAAACCTCTTTCGTCAATTTTCCTGAGCGTTTGGTTTCGTTTCGTAACTGTCTTAACAAATTGACATTGTATAGCGGCTCGGATTGAGGAATCGGAGAGCCGAGTTCGAATTCCAATCGAATACATTACATTCACTTACGTGCTAATACCCTTGGAAAAGACATGAATACTCTTCTCCCCCTCCCCCATGAGTAAATAGCAGGATATACCTGGTTCTATAGCCTTGGATGACAACTGGTCTGCCGCAGAATTAAATGGCAGCCTACTGCGGGAAAAATTTACCTCGTCAGTCATTTATCGAAAGATACCTGATCGCCTAAGCGTGTATCGCGCACGGCACATAACTGACTGTCTTTCCATTGATGGCACAGCTCTTTTGAAAATAGTAAACACAATGCCTTTTGTATCCAAAAACCTGAGGCAATCACTTTCCCTTATTTTGAGCAGAAGAGGAGAGGTGTTTCCACTGCATATATTGTCTCTTTTGTCTCTGGCTTCAACACTGGGTTAGGAAACATTCAAGGAAACAAAATATATGTCAGATTCCCCCGTCATGTGATCAGTGATGTGGACTTTTGATCAGATATCAGAAGAAGTGGCACTCACCAAGCAGAAACTTTCTTCACACCAAGTTCATTATGCAGAATATAGTCAATTCTCTCACGAGATATGTGAATAGTATTGACTATTTGATTTACAGCCAATCACCTGTCATCAATCACCATGTGGCGAAAGCCATCAATGTTTTCTTCGGTCGTGGCAGTTGCAGGACGTCCAGACTTTGGGCCATCTTCAAGACATTCTCTTCACTTCTAAATTTAACTGCCCACTTTTGTACTGACGAAAATACTGGCGTCTTGTTAACATGAATGTCCTTGCGGACCAAACTCTTTTTTTTTCTGCAGATACTTGCACCATGTCAAAATTTGTCCATTTTCAAGAGAAGTCTCTACTTGTTGCATTTGAAGTCTACTTTGAACAGTCAAATGTCAGTTTACCTGGAAATAAATAGTGCAGTTATTAATAAGAAAAGTTTGAATTAATTAATAAGATTTCACAGCCCTAACATTACTTCTTCATAGTTAGCCTATGAACCTTTCAGCCCATCCTCGTAATTTTGACATTGGTAAGATTTCAGAAAATCATACCATCACTACTACTTCTGCCACTACTTAACTACCATACAGTACAGGTTATGAATATAAAATTTATTATTATTATTCAAAACGAAGAAGAAGATCGGATGCAGTAAACATCCTCTTCAGTGCGCCAGATTAACTTGTCAATTGCCTGACTATAACAATTCAGACATGTCCCCTAGAGGCTGACGCACCGTGAATCGCTGTTTATGAACAGGATCATCGTAGACGGTTTTCGAAGAGGTTGTTCTGTTTTTATTTGAGAGGCTAAGGCAGCCAAAGCGCCTTAGGAGCCACATCTAGACACTTGGTAAGAGCTTCATCTGATGAGACTGAAGTTATTTCTAACCTGTAAGGTTATGTTTTGCTTTTATGAAAACATGTCACCATATCGTGCACATTTGGCTGTGATACATGTATTTGGTATACTCTTATAAGACTGCGTGGCATGATTTGTATATTGGGCGTCATATATTTTCACCCAAGAGCCGCTTTCCTGGCGCGCTCTTCTCTCTTCTGCCTCTATAATAATAATAATAATAAGTGAAATAAGTGTAATAAAGGAGTTTAACATTTAAAAGAATACGATACTCTGGGACATTGACATTTAGGCTGACCAGACCATCCTTAAAAAAAAGAAGAATCCAAGAATTTGAAGACATGTCTGTAGACCACAGGTTGAAGAAAAAGGGGGCTTAGAGTTTGAACATTTGTCCCTAAACAACAGGGTGAAGCCAGAAAAAAGTAACAAAATTGTAAAACAATATATCCGATCGATTGATTAATTGATTTGTTTATTTAACATATCAACTCATTATGGGTCGTTTAATACTGAAATATAATATTTTTGGGAGCTTTGAAATAATAAAAATATTATATATGTTATTCTGCTATCACAATTGAGTACATGGTAGATGATACTCAGCTTTAATGCACATACATGTGTTGTGTGGATATGATTGCTAGAGGCGGTGATATGTATGTTTCATGTTGTAATTTTGTTGATTATATATTTTAGGATACAGTTTGATTTATTTTTTTAAAATGTATGATATTATATGGATTAATGTCGTGGAAAAGTTCTTTTATGTTGGTGGGTTGTTTTTTAGCGGCATATCAACACCTCTATGGGTTTTTTTAATGTCGAAATCTAAATATTTTGAACACAATTTTATGGCTTCAACTAAATATATTCTGAACACAATTGTATGCCCTCAACTACAGATAAAATGAATTGTTGGTAATTTTACTATAAGTATGAATTTTGTAATATTTTTATATAAAAATGTATTTTTATACTTTCATACAGTTTTGTTTGGGGTTCACTATTTTACCCATAGGTGGGACCCTAACAGGTGCTACCAACCCGCGTCAGAGTGGACCTGGGCACAACATCAATTCAGAGGTGAAAACCTCCGATCTCCTGATTAGAGGCTATGCTGCCGGATGTAGTCTATCGTCATACCCAGGACTATATTTTATACAATTGATAAAAAAAAGCCGTCAAATATGAGAAAAAAATCGAGATTGTATGAAATGGGGATTCGTGAAAGAATCGAAAGTAGAGTCTAAAACGATCTCGGGGATGGTGCTGGTGGTTTTAGGAGTTTTGCTGTCACTTGGTCTCCAACAATAACTATCAAATAACTGGTGCAAATATAAAAATGCATGAATTATAAACGCTACTACTACTACTACTACTACTACTAATAATAATAATAATAATAATAATAGTAATAACAATAATAATAATGATATTATTATTATTATTATTATTATTATTATTATTATTATTCCCGTATTGACGATGGTGGTGTTGGGATGCTGAATTCTGCTCCGGCCGTTTCCCTAATTGTAAAGTTTCCCACTTTAGAAAAACCATTTCAATCATTTGCGTTTCAAATTACAGGAGGCAATTTCCTGTGGTTTTTCATTTTGCAAACAGATCTTTGCTTCAGGGTAAAATATCGAAATTATCTGTGATAAAAGACAAAGCGGGCGAAGTCGGTGTGTGCAGAATGGAAGAGGGCTCATCAGTAACAAAAGGCCCGTGAAACTGACCTGTGGAGGGTGCGGATTGTACGAAATCATTCTGAGAGATTCAGTCTAAAACCTCAGGCATCTTCAGACGAAATCTGATTGGCGGAGAAGAAACAAACAGTAGCGGTTTTTCTTCCCTTTTTTTTTTTTTTTTTTTTTTTTGTCTTTTCTGCACTGGACTATTTAGCAGAGGAAGATTGTGGTTTCCTCGTGAACTTTTTGGCGCGATTCAGATGACGGCTTTTGATTAGCTACGTGAAATTGTTTCTTTACCCTTTTAAAAGCGAGGCTCGACAACAATAAGGAAGGTTGAAGTCGTTTGAAATCTTTACCACTTGTGAAAACTATTTGCCTTTAATTCGCAGATTTGCCCGGTTCTCTTACAAGAACTGCTATCATAAACAACGTAAATAACGAGATAATGACAAGAGGCCTCCTTCATATTTGACGGCGGGGAGGGCTTCTTATTCAAATATAGTTCTTTATCTTTGCCACACCTTTTTTTTTCTTTTCTTAGCGATGTCAGAATGATGTAAAAAGGAAAGACGGATGCTGAAAATAAAAATTGCAGCCACAAAAATATAAAAAAAATGTAAATTACATCTAAAAATGAAAATAGCCAAAGAAATGATGAGGATAGAAAGATAGATATAGAAGGTTGAGATAGATAGATAGATAGATAGATAGATAGATAGATAGATAGATAGATAGATAGATATGAATATGAAAAGCTAGATAGATATATAGCTATAGATATAATAGCTTCCCTGTGCCTTTTATGATGAGCTGGTAATTGTTCTGATGAGCTGGTATCCTGACTTCACGAATTTAAGCGCAGTCCTAAACTGGTAGAGAGAGAGAGTGGGTATTTAGTTACGACAGGTATTGAAATCATGAGTTAGAGATAGATTGAGATGGAATGGTAGTGACAGAGATCGGGGAATAGAGAGATAAATAGACCCAGAATAATAGAGACAGGCTGGAACTCTGTAAAGGTGGGGGCACATGGGGGCGGAGATTTTCTGCGGATTTGGTGGGGGTTAAATTCAAGCAGTGTCTTTATTTTCATACTACACCACTATCGTATAAACAACTTAGAAATGAGTTTTAGTATAAGTATGTTACTTCACTAAATTAAACGGAATAAATTTTCTTTCATAGTAGTGGAGAAGATGTTATACATGGTGGTTAGTAAAAGGGACGACCCAAAATATAATTTGCACGTCGGGGACGTCAGAATAAAAAAAAATAATCTGGACATGGCACATAAATTTCAAAACACAGTGGAATAATTCTTTTCATAACCTGTACTTATGAATTTAAAAATATCATTAAAATGAATAAAATAATGTTGCCCGATTATATGATGTCTACACTTTCTATATGTCAGTAAAAGACGGAGAATGTGATGACAAATACAAAAAAGTTTTTGAAATAATAGAGATTTTAACAATGAATGTTAAGAATATCATAAACCGAGCATACGACAAATGAGGAAGTTCTAAGAACAATACTAACTACAAAGAAACTGGTGTTAAAATCAGAGACAGATGAAAGTACGTTATGTACGCATAATGAGGAAAAAACAATTGGAGAATTTAATATATTTTATAGCAAGCATTTTATAGAATCGCCAAATAACCGACTTGACAACAAATTCGAACAAATAGCAAAAAAAAAAAAAAGGTATCATAGAATAAAAAGGATTGATTTCGGGCTTGTGACATAATTGTATTTATTTACAATAAATATAGAATAAAATGGATTGATGGGAGCGACAAAAGGCCAAGAAGAGAGAGGAGAGCATTCCTATAACTCTGGATACATACATAAAACAATCTATTCAGTTAAAATAAAATCAATTTTATCCAGTTAAAATAAAATCATTAAAACTATATCGGAACGTATAGCTCGGACATACAAAACATTTGGACATTTTCTTATATAAAGGAGAGATACCTGCCCAAATGCACAATTATATATATATATATATATATATATATATATATATATATATATGAGCATTTCATTTCAAACAAGTGAGAGTACAGAGAGTGAAAGTGAGAGAAAAGTCTGGATATAGGACGGATTAAGGAAATGATAAAAGATACACGGTTTCAAGTCAATAGAACATGGCGCTTGACGTTGCATTTAAATTTTTGAAGATTTTAGTTATCAGGGAATCAAGTAAGAGGAATAGATTTCCACAGTCAGGAAGTGCGAGAAAAGAGACTGTTGGAGAAGAAGTAGTGGTTACATTTAACTAGTTCAACAGTAAAAGGGTGGGATATAGCTGCAAATATTAAAGGATTTAATCTAGTTTGTTTAAGGTATATTTTATGAATCCAGAATGTTTAGCTATGATGTTTTCACGTCTTATCTCATTTACTAGTCTAGAAAAAAACTGAAGGCAAACAATCCTTAAGTGTGCTAATTTCATATATTTGGGGGTTGAGGGGTTCAGGAGCAGTATTGTACAAATCTATACGTCTGCCTGCCTGTTTTTTTTTTGTTTTTTTTTTCAATTTGAACATCCACTTGGTGAGCTTGCGTATCTGCTTTCAGCAACTGTAAATAGTATTCAAATTTAGAACAGCTGAAGAGATAATCAAATTCTTTTGATAAAAGCAAAAATGCTGCTGATAAATTGCTAAGAAATTTCCTTCATTGTTTCAAGCTAGACAATTCAAAATCCATTTAACTATATATATATATATATATATATATATATATATATATATATATATACAGTGGAACCTAGGATCACGAATTTAATTCGATCCTGAAGACCGTTCGTAACTCGAAATATTCATAAACCGAAACTATTTTTTCAATAGGAATCAATGTAGAGAAAACAACTCACAGTACAATAAAATTGGATAAGAAAAATACAACACAAAAATGTATACAACACGGCGATCAACTCAGAAATTATTCCGTTCATGTTAACTCGGTTCAGCAATTTTGTTCGAGAACCGAAATTTTGTTCGATAACCGAGGCATTTTCTCTTCAAAACCGATTTGTTCGACATGTGATACGCTCGAGAACCGAGGTTGCACTATATATATATATATATATATATATATATATATATATATATATATATATATATATATATCGTTGTGCAAATTAAATGAAAGAACCGTACGTGCAGTTTTAAACCTGCTGGTGGGCAAGGTGTAATCGATTTGTATTTTTTCCTCAGATTAGATTATTTGCAGCGGTGTGCAGTAATATGAATCTATTTTCGGCTGCTTGATGAAATTTGTTTGGCCTTGAAAAATATTGTGTAATCTGTGATTGCATCAGATTTTTATCACGCCCAGACACTATTGTCTCGATTGTCGATTAGTTGTCCTACGGTCATTGTCTGCGATGGACGTTACTCGAAGAAAGCGTACGAAATATTGTAACGCTGCACGAACACACTGGCAAGCCTTACCAGTTAGCAACTCAAAATATTCTAGATTGGCCCAGAAACTCTAAGACTAACATGTGCACAGGATCATGTTTCATTGGAAAAATACGAAAAAGTAAATAATAACGGAAGTATTCGTTTTGTTTCAATTAATTTGCAGAAGGTTGTATATATAAGGAGAGAGAGAGAGAATTTGATTTATTGATTTTTTTTTTAATCAACCCTTTATAGATTATTTAAAGCCAAAATATATTTTGGATTGTCGGGTTACGCGTACAGTATCTGATGTTCCTAAGTTATCCCCATCTAAAAAGTGACTGGGCCCGACGCTGTTTAACTTCCCAGATCGGAAAATTACCCGAGGGAGAGAGGGAGACAGCGAGAGAGAGAGAGAGAGAGAGAGAGAGATTAAAGAATGAGGGAATAAAGTTTCGATTTCTCGAATTGAAAGAGATTTTAGTATTTTAGCCAATAATTAGCGATGAAGGTAATACGTCAGAGTTTAGGCCAGCCAATCAGCTGACAAAAGGATGCGGCTATTGAGAGACAGACATAAGTAAAAAGGTAGAATTGTGCCATGATTGTGGCAAATCGACAATGAGATGAATTCTCTGAGAAAAATCATGTCAAGAATTGAATAAAAGATGAATAACTGAAGTCAACAGATGCAGAGACTGAAGAAAACTGGTGATTGAAGCTGCAAAGAAAAGAATAACAATGTTGCTAGGGAAGTTAATAAATGTTTCAAAAGATAAAGACATGTAGAAAACAATGAGGGTTATTTATGGACGAATATGATACTGACTGAGTGACTATGTAAATACGATATATGGAATGACAAAAGGAAGATGAGCGGAGGGGACCAAAGAAACATTGACAAAGAAAAGGCTGTTTTGTTTTTTATATATAAAAGAAGACAATATAAGATAAATCAGAGAAAATATGAAGAAAATGGGCTTGTATTTGGGAGGAACTCGTGCCATTGTTAACGACAGTGCCGGTGGCTTTCCCACAGAATAAAGAGAATTGACGAAAGATGAGGATGAGAATGAAGGCGTAAAGAAGAAAGAACGAACGAAAGATGAGAGTGAAGAAGAAAATAAGAAGAAGGAGAAAGAAAGAAAGAAAGAAAGAAAGAAAGAAAGAAAGAAAGAAGTGATGCAGAAGGAAGAAGAAAAGGAGGAGGAGGAGAATTAGTAATACGTCTAGTTTTTACATTTCTACTGTTAAAATTTATATATATATTATATATATATATATATATATATATATATATATATATATATATATATATGATATTCAGCACTTTATCCGATAAATATAGCACACCTTAAGAATATATTTCTTCAGATATATATATATATATATATATATATATATATATATATATATATATAATAAAGTGCACAAAAATTCTGGTCCGGTGTAAATGTGACAATGATGATGATGATGATGATGATAGCAAAGTCTAACACATTCACCACCACTACTACTATGACACAGTCTCTGCCTATTCGTCTCTTTCACTTAATAAAGCGAAGAGGAAATTGAAGAAGAGGAAGCTAAATAAGAATTGTTAAAGAGAGACGTACTTTACGCCGGGAGAGGAAAAAAGGTGCGTTTGGCGGTGGAGAGAAGTGGGGGGGGGCAAAATAATCAAAATCCGAAGGGAATTGAAAAGCGGACGCCCCAATAGAAAAGAGCCGATAATGCGACAACGAGAAGAGTTTCAATAGGAAGGATTCTAATGAACAAGCGTGTGATTGGCAATGATGATCTTGTTGATTAGGGAAGCATCTTGCCCGAGGCTTGCAATACAGCGAAGATCTCAAGACCTACGTAACCTCCATCTGTTCAGGGCCTTTTACTATGACCCCACTTATGTAGTCCACTTTTTATTCTATAATTACTAAAAGCAGCTTTCTTCCTCTTTCGTTTTGAAGCAGCAATCTCAATCACTTGACAATTTATCTCCTGTTAAACTCTATACAATAGCGCTGGTTGCAAAAAGTAACAAAGAATAACCCATTCATTTGCAATAGTTATGTAACATAAAGACTGTCCAGTTCCAGACCGCCTAAGGTGAAATCGTGCTAAAAATACCAGTTCTCGTTCAATCATGGAAGTTAAGCAAAGTTAAGCCTGGTCAGTGCTTAGATGGGGACCGCTTACGAACACCAAATACTGTAAACGACTCCCTACAGTCCGAAATCTGTTTCGGCTTGAAATAACGGCAAAGCCTAGACGAATCGTAAAAACAAATCCATCAACGTTTAAGTGCATCATTTTGTATCAGCAAAATACATCATGTGTGCATATATTTTACTTGTATTTACAAACATATTTGATTTGAAAGCGTATAAGCTATGTTTATATGTTTATGTTATATATTGTATATATATATATATTGTAACCCGGATATAAGAGAGTTGTCGGGACCGGAGAAGAAGTCTCTTATATCCGGGTTTGGTCTATTTTGTTTACATTAACACAGGCTCTAATTTGGGACCAGAGAAAATCTCTCTTACATCCGGGTTTCTCTTATATCCGGGTCCACTTATATCCGGGTTGCACTGTATATATATATATATATATATATATATATATATATATATATATATATATATATATTTGATGCTAAATATAGTTTTAAGTTACTCATTGGTATGAGTACTCAATATCAGAGATAGAACGTATAAAATATATAATTGGACACTGAGGTCAACACCGAGCGACCATAGTCTGTTTCATGCTTCAATTCAATCTTCATGGCTGGAAGATTGCGTTCAAGCATGCAACGGACTGTCGCCGTTTGGTTTCCACCCCAGTGTCCAGGTACTATGACGTCGTACCACGTGTGAAAACGAAATATTAACAACAGGATCATATGTCTAGATGCAATGTAATATGTTGTGACTAGATTGAAATGCAATTTTGTTGAGTGTAGTTGCTTTGTTTTAATGTAGATGGCCTCCAATATCTGAAGCTTCTTTTTCCTGCGTTATTATTGCGTTATCAACTAATATCTGTCTAATATGACTATGATTTTTCTATGAAATGTTGATTAATAGAACTAAGATCAGAAAGGTAACCGGTCAGTCTACGGGAGGGCGTTATCGTCGCATAGCAATCTTCTATGTCAATATAACAAAATATCATCGGTGATGATTAATATCTTTGTTTAAATGTCCATATAACCATTCTATTATGGCTTAAAGGGAAAATTTTGACTGTTGCCGAATCGGATATCTAGACACTGGATGAGCTGTAATACAGCGAAACAATCTGCCTGTGGATGATAATATATATATATATATATATATATATATATATATATATATATATATATATATATATATACTGAGCGTTTTCCAATAAGTAGCGCGCATAAATAATATATATAAAATTGCATATATATATATATATATATATATATATATATATATATATATATATATATTAATCTATACAATATTTTTGGGATACTAATGTTTGAGTAGACAACGTTTATTTTAGCAATGTCAATGACGTTTAGAAGTTCTGTGCATTCGCGAAAATTCGCACATTTTCTTCATTGAGACTATTGAATGCGCAGACCGTTAGGCGTAATTAATTCTGTTTAAAAAAAGCACCAAACCGTCTACTCAAACATGTGTATCCACTAAAATCACGTTTCGAGCAGTAAAAAAGTAAATTCGGATTAAAAATTAAAACCATTAATATATATATATATATATATATAAATATCAAAGTATATAATTGGTATACACGGAATGAATTCCAATAACCAACAATTACTATTCTTAAAAGAGTGCTCAATACAAAGTAGAGCAGATATAATTATTTTTATAAAAAAATTTATAACATAAGTATGTTATAAAATCACTACAAAAATAGCCATTTTGTTTCAACACACTCTGTGTCTTATCAAGTGATGGTGTTGAAAAGAAAATAAATGGTTTTAAAAGTTTCAGATTAATTAACGATCCTGCACTAGGGGGAGCATTGTTACAAAAGCTAGAATAACCAATCAAAAAACGAAGTACAGAAAGATTCAAAAAGCTTGACAACAAAATCCTGCTATTATAGCTATTTAGATCTTTAAATACGTGTAATATTAAAATAATTTTTACTAACTAATAATTATAAATTTATATGATAAAATTTAATATTAAAATTAAAAACTGGCAATTTTAAAATCCAAATTTAATCACTATTAGGTTTAAAAACTACAAAATTATTGAGAAAAGAAAAAAAAAAATATATATATATTTTATTCAATTCATTTCTTCATTGAAATTACGTCTGACAAGACAAAAAAAGCCAATTCGTCCGGTCATCTGATAATACATGTATATATTTTTTTTTTTTTCCGTTTTTTTATTTTAAAGTTTGTGAATATGGTCTTAAACTCACGCGTGACACAACAAAATCACAATCAGATTATAATACATACGCATCTAGACATAATTAGATACATACACACACACACACACACACACACACAAATATATACACACACACACTAAAAAAAAAAAAAAAGGAAGAGGTGGGGAATACATGAACAACTCCACAGCCCTTTACGAAAAAAAGGAGACGTGAAACTAACACTTATACACACACACAGTTAAATGTGAATACACTCTACATACACATAGACACCGATATATACACAAACATACATCCACAATGGCATAGACATTGAGAAATCACAACCAGTAAATATTTCAGACTTAAATAAATGCTAACCACTTATTGAATTATAACAGAGGAAATATATAAAGATAAAAATGTTTAAAATAATATTATTTAATATATTAAAACGAAAACTCTAAAACAATAAATATCAATAAAATATATATATATTATTAATCATATAAGTTGATAATAGTTTCATTATATATTTGGCAAAGAAAAACAGGAAAGAAATCCACAAATATATACATATATATATATATATATATATATATATACAGCAAAAACAAATTAACACACATAAAAAAAAAAAAATATATATATATATGAATTGAATAAACATATATATTTTTTTTTTTTCTCAATAATTTTGTAGTTTTTAAACTTAATAGTGATTAAATTTGGATTTTAAAATTGCCAGTTTTTAATTTTAATATTAAATTTTATCATATAAATTTATAATTATTAGTTAGTAAAAATTATTTTTAATATTACACGTATTTAAAGATCTAAATAGCTATAATAGCAGGATTTTGTTGTCAAGCTTTTGAATCTTTCTGTACTTCGTTTTTGATTGGTTATTCTAGCTTTTGTAACAATGCTCCCCCTAGTGTAGGATCGTTAATTAATCTGAAACTTTTAAAACCATTTATTTTCTTTTCAACACCATCACTTGATAAGACACAGAGTGTGTTGAAACAAAATGGTTATTTTTGTAGTGATTTTATAACATACTTATGTTATAAATTTTTTTTTATAAAAAATAATTATATATATAAATATATATATATATATATATATATATATATATAATTATTTATTTAAAAATATGATTCCAAATCGCGACATAAGAAGTCCCATGTTTCAAAACAAGAGCCGAAAACTTCAATATAATTATTTAAATTAAATTGAGTTAAAATAAGCTCTGTTCCATCTTCAAGCAATTTTTTTTTTTGAATAACGTGTTTCTGAAATTTATGTGTTTTAAAAATTGAAATCAAAATTTCCATGGTAACACCTAGGGCGAATTGTTTTTAAGTTGGGTAGGCGGGTGTTGGGTGTTAATAATAAGTATCAGTATAGAGTTACTTTCGTAGATGTCAAGTCAGGGAAAGGTCGGGGTGTCTAAATTTGAAACGGAAGATGTATTAACCCTCGTCTAGTTTGCATGTCTATGGAGATTTATTTATTTTTTTATTTTATTTTTTTATGAAAGGGATTTGCGCATATAAAAAAAAAACTGTCGTAACGTTTGTTTTTTGACGACTTCATAAAGGGTTATCTTTTTTTAGGGCATTTCGGCTATGGCTTGAAGGGTGTTATAGTGTATGCATGTTTTTAGTTAATTATTCAAACCATGAATCTGATGAGTGGGCTATGGATTAAACAAGTTATTATATTGTATGCTAGTTTTTAGCTAATAGTTAAAACCAAAAATCTGATGATGCCTACAAAAAACCGTTAACTCGTGTCTATTGTTTAATAGATTATTATTATTTAGAAGTTTAATTATGTGCAATTTCTCATGGAGGCATAAAGGGCATGGGTCATCCCAAATTTTACATGTTCTAGCCTTGTTAATAATTTTCCAATATATATATATATATATATATATATATATAATATATAAATCCTCTCGAATTCTCTTAATGTTTATACTAGATCCATGAAAGAAGGCGCTGTAGATTTTTTCATTTCTTTAATTTTCCCAAGTACTTTCAATCCCATCCAAGATTATATTTAGGGGTGAATTTCTAAGCCAAAAAGCTAATGCAATTGATAGTTGTAAATTTGTTTCTTAAATGACCTTGAAACGCGTTTTGTTTTAATTATTTCAAACACATATAAACCCGCTCTTTTATAAATTTTATAATTTTAAATTTAAATATTAAAGTTTTTTTTCCATGTTTTATCTATGCAGCATATATATATATATATATATATATATATATATATATATATATAATGATGTAGATCATTGTTCAAACATATATTGTTAAATATAACAGACAACGAATGTCTATTATGTTTTATCATGAGCCTTTTATACGACACTTGGAAAGGCTAATGATGTGTATGTGTGTGTGTGTGTGTGTGTGTGTGTGTGTGTGTGTGTGTGCACGCGCGGAATATATATAGGCAACTCCTAATGGAGTCTGCTACAGAGGCACACCGGTGAAAGAGAGCTCGATATCATATTAAATGTCAGTGTCTTGATAGTATTAAATTCCCGGGGGACGACGGCCGACCACAACTAAAAGTTTCATGCGTTCTCAAGCATTCATCAGGCTATCAGCTAGTTATTTAAGGAAAAATTGGTACTTTATACTCTTC